CCAAAACCCCAAAACCCCAAAACCCCACAATCATAAATAATATGGAGATTTAAGAATGACAAAGTTTTAAAAAATTATTTTTCTAAATTAGATATCAAAATGGCAGAAAGACATATTGACCCAGATAAGGAATAGCTAATTCAAGATGCATTAATCAAATTGATATTAGAATAGCAAGGATTGACCTTAGAAGAGATGGAGTATAAGATAACAGAACATTTGGCAACTCTATTAAATGGTGAAACCTGGCTATGTAGAATATAGTTGCAGCCCCATGCCTTGGATGAGAGGGACAAACCTGAGGAGTATTTGTTGGATTAACAATAACTTGATATTAACAAAACACTTTTATTTGAACAAGGAAAAGGAAAAGAGAAGATGATGCTAGCAACAGAAGATTATAAAGTATTTATCATAAGAATTGAATTAAATGTAAGCTTTTTGGTACGAAGTTCATAATTATTTAGATCGATAGTGCGTTGAGAAATAGGATCGATAAGTATTTTAAAAGGCTCTCATAATATAATGCTGTTGTTGATGTAGAAGTAGAGAAGGTTAAGAAAAATTTTTAGAAATTAAGTTATTTTGAGATCGCTTGCATTGCTAAGTACTTGGACCATATGGACATAGAAAACTTTATCAGAGTTTCCAAATCTTGCCACTATTCAGGATGCCTTGCAATCACTCAGAATATTCAAGCATTTAAAGAACAAGTAGATAAAACCAATTTTCAAGAAGATGAAAAATACTTGAAGGAGTTCTTGCAAGAGGATATTGATAAGCATATTGACAAGGAGTATGATATTGAAAGGGTTTTAGTTACTGAGTTAAACACCAATATAACCAATTGCTATGTTTAGGAGTTACTACATCTTATATTGAAGTTAACTATTCCTTAGTTGAATTAGAGAAGATATACAACATTAGATTTTAGAAAAATATTGCTGAATGACTATTAGCAATTTAAAGATAAACTAAATCAACTTTCTTTCTAATAAATAAAGTCCTCTACATTTAGAGATGTGCTTAAAAGATATAAACTGTGGAATGTTGGTTAGCAATAAATTAGTAATGTATCGGATAATGTAAAAGTTCTCTACGAATTCCTTTAGGATTCTATTAAGATTTTATCAATTAGAGAAAACCCCCTTTTGTTTAATCATATGAGTCATCTCTATAATTTGCTAGAAAAGTAGTAGTATTTAATATCGTATGATTTCAAGGAGTCCTTGATTTACAAGAGAATAGAACATATAAGTTCTTTTCAGAATGGGAGAATAGATGGATTGAGGCCTTCTAAAATTAAATAACTTGAGATATCAGGATTAAGTTCATATGTATTGAGCAATCTAATACAGTTTTTTACTCTTAAAGAATAATTCTCTAAATTTAGACAGATAAACAAAAAGATGAATGCCTGTTTCTAAATGAAGAGTACATATCTTGCATTCGATATTGATAAGTAGATGTAAAAATATAGTGAAGAGGAAAGGGCATAAGCAATGAAGGTTTACCATGACTTGCCAATATTGAATAGAATGTAGAATCAAGCAAATGTAATTATGAGAACGAATAATTTTGCTACTGAAACAAGCACGGAAAAAAAATGCCTTCAAATTATAAGCATACTATGCTCTGAAAATTACAAGGCTTTTCTTTTTGTGGCAAGCGTAGATGGAAAACCTCAGTACACTTATGCAGGTCGCAATTTTTTAAACTAGCCCCCATTTCTTAGATAAGTGAAAACAATGCCTGCTACAAACATAATGGAAGCCAAAAAATTCAGAGATAAATATGGACCCACTGAAAGAGAGATTTAGTACTTTTTAAGAACTTAAAGATAGACAGAAAACATACTAATCTCATTCATCAATTCTGTATTTGAATACTTTTATAAGGAAAGAGAAAAATTAAAAAGTAGATCAGAGATATTTAGATTAATACTTGAGTAGGAGGAAAGCATGCATAGAGGCAATTTCTAAGATTTGTAAAAGTATTTCAAGAAATATAAACCTAAGCTTTACGAGGAAAATTTTGTCAAAAGTTGATAAATTAAAACAAAGTGCTTTAATATTTAAATAATACTGAGGATCATAATTTCATTAATTTATAATTTGATCCTTCTCAAATTTATTAGATAATAATATTTTGGGGTTTTGGGGTTTTGGGG